CCTAGGTCAGTCCTTAACTTCCTGTTCCCAGGACCCTCTGGTATATGCTCTCCTGCAGTGAGGAATAAATTCAACCTGCTCACGGCAGAACTCCTACCCTACTGGTTTGGTGTGAGAACTTAGTTTGCCTATACTGGGAACGACACGTTCCTAAGACTCTACAGTGCCCACACACACACACACACACACACGAGCCCACCTACCATCTTCCTGCTCCATAATGGAGCCAAAGTGATCCATGTTTGGTGGCACTTTCCCAGCTGGTGTGCTGGGGCAGACGGAGGATGCTCTTGATTGAGGTTAGAAGTGGCAGGCGGCCTGCCCCTCACCCAGGTGACCGAACATTGGACATCACCTTGTGCTGTGACTGTCTACATAGAAAGTTACAGGCTGGCCAGGGATACAGAGTGACCCTGTCTCAAAAAATGAAAGCTTTTAAAAAGTTCCAAACAGGTGCATACCCTGAGGACTCAAGAGCACACCTCAGAGGCGCCTGAGCATCCCTGGTCACTGCCATTCTGGTCACAAGGGCCAGGAAAAGGACCCAGCCTACTTGCCCATCAGCAGATGACTCATCAAGAAAATGCCTTGCATACGCACAGTGGAATTCCATGCAGTCGTGAAGAAGAATGACATCATGACATTTGCAGGACAATGGATAGAATCGAAGGAAGCCAGACCCACCCAGAAATACAAACAAGACACATGTCTCTCTCTGATGGAGGATCCTGGATGCTAAGATGTGTATGGATATGGTGGGGGGGGTAGGTCATAACTTTGAGGAAGAACCCTTGAGAGCAGAAGGAGAGATCTTAGGGGAGCAAAGAGAACAGAATTATTGCCACAAAAGCAAAAGGGGTGCATAGGGGAGGGGACCCACCAGGGGAAAGGGGACAGGGAGGTAGAGAAGGACCAACAAGAACACATTATGTATGAAATGCCGTAATGAAACCCATTACTCTGTATGCTAATATAAAAGCCCAAATAAAATAAAGAAGGCTGTTTCAAAGTGGGAAGAAGCTAAGAAGCTAGGGAGACATCTAGGTGAGCAAAAGTGCTCGCTGCACAAGCCTCATGGCCTGATCTCTGGAACCCAGATGAGGCTGACTGCAGAGCCGGAGAGACACTCAGGGCTGGAGAGACGCTCAGAGCCGGAGAGACGCTCAGAGCCCGAGAGAAGCTCAGTGATTAAGAGCATTCACTATTGTCTTAGAGTCCGAGTTTTTAACACATTCACAATTCACAGCCACCTGTAGCTCCAGCTCCTGGGAATCAATGTTCTCTTACAGTCCCCAAAGGCACCTGCACATACGTGGTATTCACACACACCACACACACACATGAATAAAAAACAAAAATAAACCAATCTCTCTTAAAAGCCGGACGCTGTGACTCACATCTATATCTCAGCACTATAAAGTGGAGACAGGAAAATCACCCAGAAGCCTATGGGCCAGCCAGCCTAGGGTACAAGAGCAACAGAAGCAAGAGACCACCCCCCTAACACACACACCTCAACAAAGTGGACGAAAACAACAACTGCCCCCAAAGTTGTCTTCTGCCCGCACATCCACATTTAAAAATAATTAATAGAAAAAATGAAAGCTGGGCCTGATAAGACGGCCCGGCAGTTACAGGGCCTACTGTTCTTGCAGAGGGTCAGAGTCAAGTTCGCAACACCTATATAAGGTGGCTCATGGCTGCCTGTCACTCCAGCTGGGGGCTTAGAGGTCCTCTTCTGGCCTCTGGGGGTTTTACATGTGCACATACCCACAAACATACACACATACACATAAGTTTGTAGAAGGGAGATAGATGGCTGGGCAGTTAAGCGCCGGCTGCTCTTGCAGAGGACCTGGGTTTGGTTCCAGGAGTAGAAATGGTGGCTCATAGCTACTGCCACCTCCAGTTCCAGGGATCCAGTGCTCCCTCCTGGCCCCTGTGGACACCAGGCATTGACACAATGCCTTCAGGCAAAAAACACATACACATAAAATGAAAATAAATAAATTTTTTTTAAAATATTTTTAAGTTTGGGGAGGGAAAGGTGAGTTTGTCTGTATATGACCTCACAAGCCACGGAACTTCCACAAGCTGGTATGTGTCACCTGTTTTGCAAGCATACTCTGGCCAGGATGGCTAAGACTTTGGTTTAAAGTCACATAGAAGGCAGTGCCAGCCTTAGGGATTCAGGTCTCCTTCCAAGGTTGGGTCCCCGACTTTCTCCATCCCCCTCGCCCCAGCCTGCAGTGTCTTAGTGTCTAAGAGGGAGAGGGGCTAAGATCCTTGGAGTTAAGAGAAGAATCCAGCTATCCATGATGCCCTGGTGAGCCTTCCTTCCTCCTCTCTCTTCCCTTCTCCTGTCTTCCTAGCCCTCCTCCCTCCCATCTCCTCCCCCTCATGCCCTCAGTGACTCCCCTTGCTGGATTGAAGGCAGTTCCCTCCAAGGCTGCCAGGCTGCTGAGTAAACCCCAGCCCCGTATGGCCCAAGGTGAGGGTCATCCCCAGCTGAGTCTAAGGTCTGAGTCACTTCCTGACCTTTGCTCAAGAGGAGTCCAGAGTAGCCAGCAGTGCTGAGGCGGGGTGGGGGACATTCCAGGGCCTTGAGGGCTTTCCTGGGGTTTCTCACCTTTCTGGGCTCAACTCTACCTCCCTGCAGAGACCCTAGCCCCTTTCTCTTCTCTCAACCCCAAAGGGAACCCTGTTTCTCAGAGCCGACTCTCTCTAGCCTATGTCCACCCCTAGTATCTGGCTTCCAGAAATATAGTTCCTTAAACCAGAACCACCGACCCAGGGGGCCTCAAACTCCCACTGTCAACCCCTTCTTTGTCTCGGGACCAATGAAAGGGATGAACAGGAAGTGGACTGCACCGAGGGAACCTCATCCTTACTATTCCAGGTGGTTTGGGGGCACCCCTAAGCTTTGCTGGCCAGAGCCTGGGCTCCAGGGCTACCATGCCCACAATTTCACCCAGCTCTGCTGTGTGACCTTTAGCTAATTACTCAACCCCTCTCTGCCTGTTTGCCACTTGTCTGGTGAGGATGTTCAGTCTGACTCACCCCTTCTGCCCTGGAGTGGAATATGTAAAACACTAATGCCCAGCACATGGCAAGCACGGATGTTTATTAGATAAGTTTTTCACACCCAATGGGCTGACTCGCTATTTCTTACACAAGCTTTGATACAGTCTTAAAGACAGATGCCCTGCCCACAGCCACAGCACATGTTAAGCATTTCTGTGAGGTTGGTCCCTTGAAAATGATCCGCAGACTGCATGGAAGAAGCAGTTGGGTAATTTGAGGTCTGCACACCCCTCCTTTCGCAGAGAAGCCAGGGAGGGTGGGACGTACCTATAGGGCACGCACGAGCTCTTCTTCCAGAGCAGGTGTGACTCTACTTGAGAACAAAATCGCCCTGGAACCACACAAGATAGTGCCATTCATGTGGCCTTAGAAAACAAGCAAAAACCTATACTCAGAATTGGATGTTCACTCTGAAGGCGGAGTTTATAAGTTAGAGACCAGTCTGGTCTGCATAGAAAGTTCAGGGCCAGCTAAAGGCTACCTAGTGAGACTTTGTCTCAAACCCGCCACCACCAATGACAAACACACTCCCCCTGGACATTTGAATCTTTGTGGATACTGGGCACCGTAGAACTAGCTGAGATTGACTCTTGGTGTAAGACACAAGAACTTTAATACGATGAACAATTTGATGCCTGGATTTTGTTTCAGAAAAAATGGAGAAAGAGGAATAGATGCTGAGCCCTAGCCAGTGATGAACCTTAGGATCTGGGAGAATAGATGCTGAGCCCTAGCCAGTGATGAACCTTAGGATCTGGGAGCAATCAATTATTTTTCTTAAAAAGCCACCAGTCAGTGGTGCCACACACCTTTAATCCCAGCACCCAAGAGGCAGAGGCAGGTGGATCTCTGTGAGTTTGAGGTCAGGCTGGTCCACAGAAAGAGTTCCAGGAGAGCCAGGGCTACACAGAGAAACCCTGTCATAAAAAAACAAGAGAAGGCCGGGCGATGGTGGCGCAAGCCTTTAATCCCAGCACTCGGGAGGCAGAGGCAGGCGGATCTCTGTGAGTTCGAGACCAGCCTGGTCTACAAGAGCTAGTGCCAGGACAGGCTTCAAAACCACAGAGAAACCCTGTCTCGAACCCCCCCCCCCCAAAAAAAAAAAAAAAAACAAGAGAAAAGAAAAGAAATCTGGGGTCATAGGAACTCATTTAGAATCCCACGAGTTTTAGGGTTCTTGTTTGTTACTGTGTTTTCCCCCTTTGATTTTTTTATTTTTTGAGACAGGGTTTCTCTGGGATTAAGAATGTTTGCCACCACATACGTTTCTTTTTTTTTTGTCATATATATAATGACAAACGTGCTGAGAACCAAACTCAGATCCTCTTCGTGAGTGGTACAGGCTTTTAAACCTTTCCCTCTTCAAGGTTGTTTTGAGTCAGGATTTCTCTGTGTAACCTATGCTGGCCTCCAATTTACTTTGTCGCCAGGGATGACATTGTTTCCCAACCTGCTTTTTTCCTCCTTTCCTGCTTCCCTCCCTCCCTTCTTCCTTCCACCTCTATTCTCTCCCCACTTTTTCTCTCCTCCTTCCTCAGGGTCTTACCCCGTCTGACCTTGAACTCACTAAGCACTGAACTGGACTCCTCCTGCCTCGCCTCTGCCTCTTCTGTGCACAGATTACAGATCTAAGCCACCATGCCTTGTATCTGTGGGGTTTTATTTCTCAAACTATCAGCACCGCCCCCCCCCGCCCCATCCCCAGCTCTTCCTACAGGGCTGGAGGGATCCAGGCAGCCTCGCGGGCACCCCTTCCTGCAGGGCACCCCGCACCTGCAGCAGGTGGCCGGTGGAGCCTGGGGCCTCAGCCGGGGATGGGCGGAGTCCGGAGCGCGGGCGGCGGGGCGAGACGGGGCGGGGACTCACCTGGGCGAGGCGGCAGGTGCGCCGCCCCACGGGGGAGGAGCGGGCGCGGGGCGGGAGGGGACCGCGGCGGGACACCCGGGCCGGGAGCCCGCGGGCAGCCACCGCAGCCGCCGCTCAGGGCCGCCACCACGGGGTGCGGAATGAGCCTCACCCGGAAAAGGGGTTTCTACAAGCAGGACATCAACAAGACCGCCTGGGAGCTGCCCAAGACCTACCTGGAGCCGGCGCACGTCGGCAGCGGGGCCTACGGAGCTGTGTGGTGAGACCCGGGGACCCCAGGAGGCAGAGGAGACGCGGGCCACCCCTTGGCAGCCTCCCCGCGCTCACACGGCCGCATCCGGGCCCCTGTGGGTTGAGTCGCTGACGAATCTGGTTCTCCAAGGCTGTAACTTTTCAAAGGGACCTCGGAGTTCGTGGGACAGATCCCTGCAGTGGCAGTTGAGGCCCCAAGAGGGGAACTTGCCACATCCGCAGAGTAGGGACTCCCGGCCTGCTTTGCATCCTGTCAGCGTGAATTGTTCCTGCCCCTGCCTTGCTGCCCCTTTCCCGGTGCCCCCACCTCACCCTCGCGACGCAATACTCTGCTGTCCCCCAAATTCCTGGTCTCCAACCAGCCTGGGGAATACGGAGTCGGAGTGGCCTAGGACAGGGAGGGAGGGATCCCGAGTCTGGGCTCTTTGCGCCGTCCCTCCCCCTCACCTGCCTGTGACCCCGCAGTTCGGCCATCGACAAGCGGACAGGGGAGAAGGTGGCCATCAAGAAGCTGAGCCGGCCCTTCCAGTCGGAGATCTTTGCCAAGCGCGCTTACCGCGAGCTCCTACTGCTGAAGCATATGCACCATGAAAACGTAGGATGCGGCAGGGGTGTGGATGCGGTGGGCATCAGGGGGCAGGATGAGAGGCCCAGGAGTGGCCTGCCCGGGGTCCAGGGTGCAGGGTGCAGGAGAAAGAATCTTCCTTGCCCCACCCTGGCTTCTCAGGTCCTTAGCCCTAGAGAAGGTGCCAGGGCCTGCCCAACTCACTTCCAGAAAAAGCACTACCTTATCTCGTTTGTGAGGAGGAAGTAGACACAGGAGACCTTCGTGATTGGTTCCTTGAGAACTCAAGTCCTGCTGGGCCTAGACACTTGAGCGACTGCTGTCCCCATACCGGGACTCCAAGACTGACAACAGACACTGAGTACTTAATGCATGCCAGGCTACTTTATGCGAATGCTGGCTAACTTATATAATTCCCAGCACATACCGTCCGTGGCACAGATGAGGAAACTGAGGCACAGAAAGATTCCTGGGTTATTGGTTTATCAGTGGCAGAGCTGAAATTGGAGGTCAAGGCAGGCTGGTGCCTGGGCATTTGACCATTCTGTCTGATGGGAACAGACAGGGACCCAGCTCTGGACTCAGAAGTCCAGACAGTGATTTCAGAGCCTTGTCCCCTGTGAGTCCTGAACCAACCATCAGCCAATGTCTCCCCAGTGAGATGAAGTGGGCTTGCCCCTGGCTCTGAACCAGCCCTGTCACAGGCAATGACAGACTGACAGACATAGCTGGAGACCCAAGGTCCAAGGCTGAAGCTGAGATCCAAGGTCCCAACGCTTTTCATCCTCCCCGTCCCCCCCCCCCACATTGACCCTCATGGTATGTTAGTCGGAAGTAGGTTTGTTCACCCTGTACCCCAAATTTGAGAGCAGTGGCCTGGCCACATTCTGACTTCCATCATTGTTAGCGCAAACTTCCTTTTCTGCCTGGGCCCTCATGCTTTTTCCGTGCCAACTTGGGCTACCTCCTGTAGCAGAGGGTGACCTGGATGGTGGCCCTGGGTAGCTGAGGCCCCAGGGAGTAGGAAGAGGGGTGGTGGCAATGTAGCCTCACTGCCGACCCTTTCCCCAGGTCATTGGGCTCCTGGATGTCTTCACTCCCGCCTCTTCCCTTCGAAACTTCCACGATTTGTGAGTCGGGCTGCACGGGGGCTGGGGCATTGACAGATCTTAATGGTGGCTTGGAAATATTTTGGGGGAGGGTGGCTTCCAGAGTTGGGTGGAAAGGGGGTCTTACGTCTCTTTGCTGTTACACTGAGGTCCTCTCTGGAAAGGTACCTCAGCTCTGAGTGAAGGACTGTAGAGTGGCGGCCCCCAGAGCTATCTGCAGGACCCCTACACCTTATGACCAGGCCCTGGTTCCACGAAGAGGACAGCTGGCCCTCCCAGGGTGTGCACTACCCACCCCCCGCCTCCACCCCCCCCCCCCGTTCCTGGGGACCAGCTGTGGCTTTGGACCTCATGATACCTAGAGTTTTCTCCTAACGGGAGGGTGAGGATCTGGGGCCAGGACAATCTGTCTGATGGAGTTTGGCTGTTAAAACAAGCGGGACACTTAATTGTGAAGTGTCGGGTTTCGCTCCACACGCCTGGGCAAGGAGGACCGGCTTGAATGACGCTGAGAATCAGGATGTGTGTGAGTGGCAGCCAAAGCAGTCTCCATTGAGCTGCTCGACTACCTCGGTGCCACCGAGGTCTCGTGGGAGCGGTTTGGTGCCCTGTGCTGTGTTTAGAGAGAATCTCTCAGGTATCACGGGTCGTCCCCCATGCCATCCCTCGGCTACCTAAGCAATGGAGGATGACACTGAACGCGCGGTCCTCCTGCCTCAGATTCCAAGCATTGGTGCTAGGATTTGAACTCAGAGCTTTGCACATGCTAGGCTGGTGCTCTTATCAACTGAGCCACATCCCCAACCCACCAACTATGGAGGTTTTAACCAGAATGCTGGGACGGTCTGTCACATTTGGGGGATATGGGTAGCAGCGATGAGAAAGGGGCTGGGAGGAGGGAGAGACAGCGGTGTTGAGCACCCCGGCTTTGATCGACCTTAAAGTGTGGGATACGGAGGGCAGATCTGAGACCCACTCAGGCTGTCCTGACGGGAGTCGTCGCATCTGCTGAGACATGGTGGCTGAGGGAGGTTGGTGCAGGTGATTCAGGAACCCGAGGTAGAACAGACAAGCCTGGAGCGAAAGCTGATGAACTCCACCTTGAGTCCTGCATTCATACAGAGTCTGTGAAACCATAGGAAAGGAGAGAATTGTGTAGACCAGGCTAGAATCATCTCCGTGGGTGATAGCTGAAGCCCAGGGATAGCTCATGGCAAAGTGGGATACAGTGATGCTGATCCGGAGTCCTGGCAGTCAACCGTTGATGCTTAGGAAACACAGGGGGGGAAAAGGAGTCTCTGTGGTTTTTGTTGTTGTTGATGGTGTTTTGAGACAGGATTTCTCTGTGTGATAGTCCTGGCCATCCTGGAACTCCCTTTGTAGAACAGGCTGACCTTGAACTCATTGAGGTCCACCTGCCTCTGCCTCCCAAGTGCCGTGATTAAAGGCATGCGCCACCACCACCTGCCCAGTGAGTCTTTGTGTTTGAGAGGTGGTCACTGGTGACCTTGATGCCAGCAGTTTAGGACAGGAGCAGAAAGCATGGAATGGTTGTGAGAGACCATATATGAAGGCAGTGAAGAAGGTGAACTCTTCTCCAAGGTTGGAGAGGAAGAGGCTTAAAGATTTATTTAAAATTGTGTGTGTGTGTGCCCGCGCACACATGAGTGAAGGTGCCCCTGAAATTACAGGCAGTTACAAGTTGCCTTATGAGGATGCTAGGAATTGAACTTGGGTCATCTAGGAAGAGCTCTCTGTGTAGCTTTGGAGCCTGTCCTGGAACTCGCTCTGCAGACCAGACTGGCCTCAAACTCACAGAGATCCGCCTGCCTCTGCCTCCCGAGTGCTGGGACTAAAGTTGTGCGCTGCCACTGCCCAGCTGCAGCAAGTGCCCTTAACTGCTGAGTGACCCCCTCCAGCCCTCAGCAACAGCTTACATAAGCAAAGTGCCAGGCAAAGTGGTGTATATGTGTAATCCCAGCACTCAGCAGCCCTGTGAGTTCCAGGTCAACCTTTTATACATATTCAGTTCCAGGCCAGATAGGGCTACATAATGAGACCCTATCTCAAAATAAAATAAAAGAAAGTGTGTGTGTTTTGAAACACGATTAATAAAAACTCAGAGACAGATTTGCAGTTCAACCCGAAGATCAGAAAAGCAAAGCAGCCAGCCACTGACTCTTATCTCAACCTCAGTCTGAAAACGGTGATCCTGCCTCCAGGAATCTCAGAATGAGACTGAGCCTGAGAGCTGTCTCCTCCTGTTTTATAATCCTCTCTAGTTCTGGGATTAAGGGCATGTACCACTACTGCCTGGTTTCTACGGCAAGTTAGTGTGGCTACTGGGATTAAAGGTGTGGGTCATTGCTGCCTGGTCAATGTGGCTGTTTCACTTTTCTGATCCTCAGGCAAGCTTTATTTATTAAAATACAAATGAAAAGCCACTACAGTATTCACTTTAGGGGGCTGGGGCTGTAGCTCAGTGGGCAGAGTGATTGCCTAGAATGCACGACCCTGTCCCTATCCCTAGCCCTGAATAAATTGGGGATGGTGGTGTATGCCAGTAATGCCAACGTTGGAGGGATGAAGGCAGGAGGATGCAAAGTTCAAAGTCATCCTCAGCCTCATAGTGAACTGGAGATCAGTCTGGATGCACGAGATCCTGTCTCAAGAGGAAAATTTATATATTTAATGTCTATACATATTTTATGTAGTTATAGATATAATGGTGTGTGTGTGTTGTACACACACCTTTTATAATCTACTGCTTTCTGTCCTAAACTTGCCATGACCACCTTGAGTCACAGTTCCGGGTTGCTGACATTAACCTGTTTCAAAATCCTGCTTGAGTGCTTAATAGCACTGGCCCCTCCTTCCCCTGCCTGCTGAAGATTATTTCCTGTTTCCTTCCTGGAAAGGCAGACATTTGTAGTTTGCTGAGCCTGCTGAGCTGGGCGTGACCCTCCTACCAGAGAAACCTTTGGATGGAAGCAGAAGGAAATGCTGGCGGGTGCTGCTGGCTCATGGCTGGCCTGCTCGGGGGCGTGGAGGGGAGCAGAGCCAGGGTACCTTTGAGAAGTGTGAACACAGTCATCTGGTGTTGCTGAGGATTACTCCAGGGCTGGGTGACCCTGAGCTCTGCCCACCAGGCTGCTGTGGCGGGGATGCCGGGAGCTTAGTCTGGGATCTCCTGGTTATTCATGTATCTTCTTTATTTTGTATTGTGTGGATGTGTTCATGTGTGTGGATACAGGTATGTGTGTGTGGCCAGAGGTCACACAGGTCAACCTCTAATGTTGTTGTTCAGGCACTGTCTACCTTGTTTTCTCATTTTCCCTTATGATTGTTTGTAGTGCCTGTGAGCACACATGTGTGCCTGTGAGCTTGTGAGCACCCGTGCTCCTGCATGAGTTTATGTGCCCCACATGCTTGCAGATGCCCATAGCGGCCAGAAGAGGGCATCAGATCCTCTGGAACTGGAGTTACAGACAGTTGTGAGCCTCCTGATGTAGATGCTGGGAGCTGAACCTGCAAGACCAGCAAGCGCTCTTGACAGCCGAGCTGTCTCTTCAGTCCCCTCCCTTGATTTTTGAGGCAGGGTCTCTCACCGGCTTGACAACTAAGTTAGGCTGATTGGCTAATGAGCCCCAGGCATCCTCCTGTCTCCGCCTTCCCAGCACCAGATCACAACTGAGCCCCATCACACCCAGCTTTTGTATGTGGGTGTTGAGGCTTGAGCTCAAGTAAGCAAGCTCTGTGTCACCTGACACAGCTTTCCAATCCTGTTTTCCATTGTCATCATTGTTTGTGGTCATTCCCCTCCCAAGTGCTGGGATTAAAGGCTGTGCCACCACTGCCTGGCCGATTGTTGTTTTTCTGAGACAAGGTCATGTTTCCCAGCCTGCCCTGGGCTCCACCAAGTAGACAAGGTCATGCTGTGTAGACCAGCCTGCCCTGGGCTCCACCAAGTAGACAAGGTCATGCTGTGTAGACCAGCCTGCCCTGGGCTCCACCATGTAACACAGGCTGGACTTTAACATCCTCCCACTTCAGCTCTGCAAACGTTGGGATTACAGGCATGGATTCTCACACCTGACTCTCTTCTGCCTTCTTGCTGGTATTGATTGTCTCTCAGGCTCTTGCTGTGCCCCACTTCTGCCCCTCTGGGGACACACCTGGGCCTGTGGGAGGCTGGCAGGCAACTGTGCTAAAAAGCCCCCTGCTTTCCAGCTACCTGGTGATGCCCTTCATGCAGACAGATCTGCAGAAGATCATGGGGATGGAGTTCAGTGAGGACAAAGTCCAGTACCTGGTATACCAGATGCTCAAAGGTCTGAAGGTAAGTGTGGCCTGCGCGGTGGCCAAGGGCTGCTCAGTGTTGAGACCCAGCACGCTGCAGTGGGAAGGAAGAGGGTCGGATGCTGGATGCTGGAGTGCAAGCTGGTGCCTTCACCGTTCCTTCTCTCTCTTCCTTTCAGTACATCCACTCAGCTGGTGTCGTCCACAGGGTGAGTGCCTCCTCTCTCGTGGTCCTCAGGGTAGGAACTGGGTGCTCTGGCAGCCAATGACAGTTCTCAGGAACCTGGGCTGTGGCTGTTTCGGCCTTGAGAAGGTGAATGTGGTAGAATAGGGATAGGGGAGACACTTTGGGGAGTGGCTGCCCACTGAGCCCTGTGCTGGCACTTCAGGCTCTAAAGACAGGGACATGGTGGAAACGGATGCAGAGTCCAGTGTCATCATACACACGAGGAGAGAGGTCTGGAGGGGAAGTGAAGGGGCCCAGCTGCTGTTGCAGTGGAGTGTGTGTGCGTGTGCATGCGCGCACACAACAGACCCGAGACCGCCTGCTGGTTCTGCTCCAGCCTGACCCTCCCTCTCTGTCCTCCCCCAGGACCTGAAGCCAGGCAACCTGGCAGTGAACGAAGACTGTGAGCTAAAGGTGAAGAGTCACAGCGGGTCCCCACGGATGGGGAGGTGGTCGGAATTCTGGGGGAGGTGGGTTTTGTCCCTCGGAACCCCTCTCCTCAGCCAGCTCGTTTCCCTGTGTCCCTTGAGCCATAGATCCTGGACTTTGGGCTGGCGCGCCATGCAGACCCTGAGATGACCGGCTACGTGGTGACCCGCTGGTACCGGGCCCCTGAGGTGATTCTCAGCTGGATGCATTACAACCAGACAGGTCAGTGGTCAGCTGCCCCAAGTGGCCCTGGTGACCTGCTCTAGAGATCATCAGATGGTCATACCCCCTCCTTCCTTGCAGTGGATATCTGGTCCGTTGGCTGCATCATGGCGGAAATGCTGACGGGAAAGACCCTATTCAAGGGGAAGGACTGTATCCTTTGACAGAGCGGATGATGTCCATGTGGGGACCCGCTCCCACAGCAATGATAATTAAATGTGTCTCGGTGAGGTAATGGGACAGGCTCCCTTGAGAATTATTTATTTTATTTTATTTTTTTTTTCAGACAGGATCTTGCTATGTAGCTCTGGCTGCCCTAGAACTTGCTATGTAGTTCAAGCTGGCCTCAAACTCACAGAGATCCGCCTGCTTCTGCCTCCCGAGTGCTGGGATTAAAGGTGTGCGCCACCACATCTGATTTATTTTATTTTTCAGTTTGAAACAGGGTCTTCTATGTCTCAGGTCCTCAAACTCACTATGTATCCAAAAAATGACCCTGTTCTGCTCCTCTTCCTGCCATCTCCCAAGTGCTAGGGTCACAGATGTGTGTCACCATGCTGGGGACGGAACCCAGGGTTTCATGCATGCTAGGCAAGCCGTCTTCTGAAGCCCAGCTCCTAGAATGGTTTTAAAGATTTAATTTTTTATTAATTAATTTATTTATGTGCATCGGTGTTTTGCCTGCATGTATGTCTGTGTGAGGGTGTTGGATCCTCTGGAGCTATAGACAGTTGTGAGCTGCCATGTGGGTTCTGGAAATTGAACCTAGTTCCTCAGGAAGAACAGCTAGTGCACTTAAACACTGAACCATCTCTCCAGCCCCTTAAAGATTTAATTTTATGTGTGTGTATATGTGTGTCTGTGTGAGTATATGCTGTGTGTGAAGGTACCCGGAGGAGGCCAGAAGAGGGCACTAGATCCCTGTAAAGAGACAAGGGACTGCCCACCCAGCTCAGAATGAAAAGGATTTGGTGGGAGATGTCTCAGAAAGACACACCCTGGGCAGTCTTCTAGGCTGTGGGGAAGCTCTCCAGAGGCCTGCTCCAACTGTCCCAAAAACCGGCCAAGGTTAGATGGGGCTGGAGCCAGGAGCCTCCACCAAGCTGGCTAGAGCAGGACTGGGAGTGGGGAGGGCTCAGCACACCGCAGAGTTCAAGGCTGTGCCTTAACTGCCTGCCAAGACCTGGACCAGCTGACCCAGATCCTCAAAGTCACCGGGGTGCCAGGAGCTGAGTTTGTGCAGAAGTTGAAGGACAAGGCGGTGAGTGGCACCTTCCATGTGGTCCCTCCCTCTGCCCTGGGGGACCCTCTCGTCCTCACCTTCTGTGTGGTCCTGGTCCCTCCCTCTGCCCTGGGGGACCCTCTCATCCTCACCTTCTGTGTGGTCCTGGTCCCTCCCTCTGCCCTGGGGGACCCTCTCATCCTCACCTTCCTTGTGGTCCTGGTCCCTCACTCTGCCCTGGGGGACCCTCTCGTCCTCACCTTCCCTGTGGTCCCTCCCTCTGCCCTGGTGGACCCTCTCATCCTCACCTTCCCTGTGGTCCCTCTCTCTGCCCTGGGGGACCCTCTCGTCCTCACCTTAGACTCCAACAGCCCTTCAGCCATTCTTTCTCCCAGAGCCTAAAGAATTCTATGCTTTTCTGTTTTCCAGGCCAAATCCTACATCCAGTCCCTACCCCAGAGCCCCAAGAAGGATTTCACCCAGCTCTTCCCACGGGCCAGCCCCCAAGGTGAGTCCTGGCCCCCACCCTAGAGTGCTTGCTGCCCATCCCAGCAGCCTCCTATTCCAGGCCAGGCACAATGCTCACGGTCACGTCCCTGCAGCTGCGGACCTGCTGGACAAGATGCTGGAACTGGATGTGGACAAGCGTCTGACAGCTGCTCAGGCGCTTGCTCACCCCTTCTTTGAGCCCTTCCGGGACCCCGAGGAGGAGACGGAGGCCCAGCAGCCATTTGACGATGCCTTGGAACATGAGAAGCTCACCGTGGATGAATGGAAACGTAAGAGATGGCCCATCCTCCCCCACCCACCCTCCTTGTTGGCCTAATTGGCACACGTGTCCTCCAGCACAGCCATCTGCAGGAGGATTTTCTCTTTGCATGGGCTCTGGAGGGTGCACTCGCTCCACACCCCCAACCCCACACACACCTACAGCACTCGCTTCCCACAGAGCACATCTACAAAGAGGTCTTGAACTTCAGCCCCATCGCCCGGAAGGATTCTCGGCGGCGGAGTGGCATGAAGCTGCAGTGACCGCTCAGCCTGACCACAGCAGAGCCTGGGGGCTGTGACAGGACCACACTCTGCCTCAGGACCAATATCTTTTGTCACAACTTCTGTCTCAGGGCTTATGGGGATGGAGCCTCTTGAGCAGACGGAAGTGTCTTCCAAAGGACTAGGGATCTGCTTGAGGAAGCAGAATTCCAGCCTGCTGGGTGGGGTTAGGGGTGGGGGTGGGGAAGCTGTGATGGGCAGGAGGCTGTATTAAAACTCATGTGTGGGCAACAGCCTGACGTGGGTTCTTCCCTTCCTGGAGGGATGGGACTGAAGATTTGTGAGCCAGGCAGAGGCCTCAACAGTCATGGGTGGGGTCTGCTTCTAGGGCAGGACAAGGCTTAAAGCAACAGAGATGTCTGCCCTCACGTTTCTGAAGGTCGGAAGCCTAAGACCAGGGTGCCAGGATGGCTGTGCTCCCTCAGAGGCTGCAGGAAACAATCCTTCCTTCCATCTCTCCTTTTCTCCCTCTCTCCCTCCCTCCCTTCCTTCTTTCCTTTTATCTCTACTGGCTAAAGTACCAAAGTCATCCTCAGTATTTCTTACACACACACACACACACACACACACACACACACACACACATTTAAGACTGGTCCCATGTAGCCCAGGAAGGACTCAAGTCCTTCCCTTCCCCTTTTTGAGACAGATTTTCACCATGTAGACCAGACTGGCCTGAAACTCAGAGATCCACCTGCCCAATTCCCAAGTGCTGGGATTAAAAGCGTGCGCCACCATCACCCAGCTGAATTCCCGTTTTTGTTCATTTTGAGACAGGATCTCACCCTCTAGCTCAGGCTAGGCTTGAACACTTGGCGTTCTTCCTACCTCAGCTTCCCAAGTACTGGGAATCTTACCTTGTGGTGTCTTCCCTTCAGGCTGATCTGTAACGCGGCTTCTAATTGTTCTTAATGATGAAAACTCAGAGTCTGCTATGGGGGGGGGGGGGGATGAAGGACCAGAGAAGAGCAGCCAGCCACTAGTTCTTACCTCTACCAATGCTCAGACCAAAGGGGCAATCCTGTCCTCAGCCTGTCCGTCTCAGCCTGCACAGAACTCCTGTCTCCTCCTGCCTTCTAGTCCTCTCTCTGCCCAGCCATATCACTCCTGTCTTCACCTCCCTAGTGCTGGGATTAAAGGCTGTGATCCCAAGTGCTGGGTCAGCTTTGTGTGAGCTCTGTCTCTCTTTTTAGACTGGATCAATTTCGTGTAGCCCAGGGTGGCCTTGAACTAACAGAGACCCCTCTAGTGGCTTAGCTCGGCACTCTGATCTTCAGGCAAGCTTTATTAGTTAAAATACAAACTATCACTACAGGCATCGCTTCCTGTGTGCACGACCCTTCTCTCAGCATGCCTGGCATGGTCCACATCAGCACTTGAGAAGTTGAAGATCTCAAGTTCTAGGTCAGGGCAGCCTGGGCTACACAGTGAGAGACCCTGTCTCGAACAACCACCACCGAAGTGGGCCTAAAACAAGAGTGGCAGCATTTGGAGTTAGGGCCCGTCAGCAAGGTGCCATCTTACTTACGGCAGCAAAAGCTTTCCAGACAGAGTCTCTTCTGAGGTTCCGGGGATGTGGATGGGGAGATAGTTAACTTGCTACAGGTGAGCACAAAGCAGGTCACTCTTGGGGCCCCAAGAGCTGCAGGTGGCCGGCTTTGCTGGCAGTTTATTTTGGGTGCCTGTTAAGAAGTGGAGACAAGAGACAACAGAGACTGGCAAGCGAGTGCTGCGGCGGGCAGACGTGGGCTTGTCTTGGCTAAGATGGCAAACCTCTGTTCTTCCCACATTGCTTTGCGCTGGCAAGAGGCATCTCAGAGCCGGATGGCCAGCAAATCTTGATTCCTCCCTCTGCCTTGGTAGAACAAAGTCACCTATGAAGGGCAGTGGTCAGCCTGTCTGGATTCCTGCCTTGGGTTTTTGACACCTGGTCTTTCATATGCACCAAAGGAAATTGATAAAATACACATTTCTAGGTCTGAACATGTAAGCGACCTCTCACCCTGACACCAGAATGACTAAGTTGTATCAGCCCAAATGTAGACGTGGGTAAAGGGAGGAGCCTGATTCCGTAATAGTGTGTCAAGAGGCCAAACCAGAACCCCATTACTGTCTGTAGTCTCTCTTCCCTGTGTGGCCTGCCATGGAGCCTTAGCCCTGGGATCCACCGTGAGGCTGGCCTTACGTATTAGCAGGCTAAAGGCTCTGTGAAGTCCTGCGGAGAAAGACCTCTGTTCTGTTTTGTTTATTCCAGAGCTTTCCAGTGTGGCTTCACACGCCTCGTGGCTCAGATGGAGTATTTTTAGAGCAGTGAAGGTCTTCTAGTGACAGGTATTTTGTTAGAATCTGTACCTTTTAAAACTCACAAGTCAGGCAGTGGCAGTACGCGCCTTTAATCCCAGCACTCGGGAGGCAGGCGGATCTCTGTGAGTTCGAGGCCAGCCTGGTCTATAGAGCAAGTTCCAGGCAGGATAGGCTCCAAAGTTACAGAGAAACCCTGTCTTGGAAAAACAACCAACCAACCAACAAACAAACAAAGACACAAGTGGATGGTGGCTGCAAGTTACCCAGAATGTACCAGTGAGCCACCGTGTGTAACTAGTGTACCATGCTCGTGCAAGACTGTAGCAGGGGACTCCTGGGAGCAGGAGCAGTGTCCAAGGATCCTCTCTGCTGTCTAAACACAACACGCTGAAAATCAAGGCTATTTGAAAACAACAAACTCTCAGAGGCCTCTGAGAGCTGACATTAGGTGTCACAGCAGGTGCTGCTGGAGGCAGGATTGGGCCCCGGGGGGTCTTGACGGCAGGCTTCTGCTGAACCTGGATGCCCTCTTCAGCACTGCCTCCCCAGGGCGATCCTGTCTCCTCCCATCTGAGCAGCTATGTTGCATGTCAGGAGGAGGCTTCGGCTGGGACTGGCTGGTGGCTAACCATCACCCCAAAACCCTAAACATAAAGTTGCAATGCTGGTTCAGGGTTTGTGTAGCCCTGGCTGTCCTGGAACTCACTCTGAAGACCAGGCTGACCTCGAACTCACAGAGATTCACTGCCTCTCCCTCCCGAGTGCTGGGAGGCGTGCACCAACACACCTGGCTTTTTTTTTAGGGTTCCTTATTATTATTCTTTACTCTTTGGGGGCCCACCACCAAGCTCCCAAATAAATATACGGACACTTATTCTTACTTATGAATGCCCGGCCTTCAGGGTTCCTCATTTTAAAACCTTTTTCTGAGCCTCCATCTTAGTCTCAAGAAAGAAGTTCAGCCGGGCGGTGGTGGCACAAGCCTTTAATCCCAGCACTCGGGAGGCAGAGGCAGGTGGATCTCTGTGAGTTTGAGGCCAGCCTGGTCTACAAGAGCTAGTTCCAGGACAGGAGCCAAAAAGCTACGGAGAAACCCTGTCTCAAAAATTCAAAAAAAAAAAGAAAGAAAGAAAGAAAGAAAGAAAGAAGTTCAGTCTTCTTGCCTTGACATTCACAGCTCAGTCGTTTATTGTTTTCTCAGATTTTCTCAGTGTCTTTGCTTTCATATTCCTTATGCCAGGGCGGCCAGCCACAAGACTCAGTGTGCATGTTATCAACATAGACCTCCAACAGTCCTGAAGGAAAAAGTATTTATTTATTTGAGACAAGGCTGTCCTGGAGCTCTCTCTGTAGGCCAAGCTGTCCTTGAATTCACAGACATCCTCCTGCCTCTGCCTCCCGATTGCTGGGATTAAAAGCGTATACCACAGACCCTCCAGTAATTCTGTTTGATATAACCCAGAACTTCCTAACACACTTAAGCACAGGAGACCATTTTCTCCAGACGGTGTCACATAGCCCTCTGCTCAGTGCAGGGGACACACACTGTTCCCCAGGCAGATGATGTGTGCGCCTCAGACTCCTCTTCCCTGAACCTGTGAGCCTCTGCTGGGAGCAAATACCCATGGCCATGGGCGAGCGAATGAAGGCGTTATTGATGTCCCCAGGTCCCAAGACTGTTTCTCCGACTACTCAATCCTTTGGTGCCACAGAGAGACAGGGCATGGTGCAGAGGAGGCGGCAGCAAGCTGCACTGTGAGAAAACTCCCTATCCCCTCAAAATACAGAACAATCAAACAAACAAGCAAAACCCAGCATCTCAAACTGAGGCTGTTTTTCCAGTGAAACAGGGAGGTGAATATCGGTGCAGAAGACTGCATGGCCTTGAGCGTCACGCACTGGGGCCCTGTTGGTGCCTGGAAGGAGTGAAGTGAATGTTGGCGGGCCCTGTGCCCCTGACCTTGGTGGGTGAATTGAGCTTTGTTCTGAGCAGTGGAGGGTGACTCCTCAGAAAACTAGCTCAGAGACAAGCAAGCCTCACCCCGGGGCCGGGGACAGTCCCCAACAACAGCGGTATCCTCCCTATCCTCCCTCTCACGCTGCTGAAAGATATCCTCACACGGTGCCAGAGCTCCCGTGTCCGGATGGACCTCAGGGACCAGGTCATCCTAGGGCAGGCCTCACCTGGCTTGGCATTGGTGGGTGGAAGCTGTCTGTGTCTGTCGGGCTACGATGAGGCCCTGGAGGAACTATTGTGGTAGCGAGAGTGGAGTTGGGTGTGCACAATGTCTGCTGTGCAGAACTGGAGCTGAACAAAGAGGGTCACCACGGCCATCTCACACCCAAACCCAGCTGCAAGACTTTTTCTTATTTTTCACCATGTCCCTGTGCTGGCCTCAAACTCACTATGTAGACCAGGCTGGCTTGCCTCGGCCTCTCAAGAGCTGGATTAAAGGCTGCCATTCAGATCCTTTCCCCCTAATGTCTTAAAAGGTTTTTATCCCAGACACTTATTTCAACCATAACATCGCTTCCTCGGGGATCTGGGCCCAACTCATGAGGGTCCGGGGTGACCTGCTCTGGCTGCTTCTAGATGAAAGGGAGCATCAGCCAGATGAATGGATCTGTCCTCAGGGTCATGCTAAGGAGAGGTGGGAGGATGATGTCTGGGACAGAGCCTGGAGTGACTTAGCTCTTGTCCAAGGACACAGTCAACACCTGGCTTTTTGTAGACAGAGTTATTGAGCTTTGGGGCCTTGCATCTGGAAGACATCAATTGCAAATGAACGAAGATTCAAGACACAAAGCACAATAAAAGGGCAAGTTGTATGGTGTGACGTCTTCAGCACAGGTCCCACCCGGATGATGAATCTCTCTCTAGTTTACTTCTCCGTGGCTGTTATAACAACCACAGCTAAAGTAACCGGGGAAAGCAAGTGTTCATTTCATCTCACAGTTTCGAGCGCCCGCCCATCACGAAGGGGAGTCAGGGCAGGAACTCAAGGCAAGAGCTGAAGCAGAGACTGTGGAGAAATGCTACTTACTGATTTGTTCACCATGGCCTGCTTTCTTATGCTTTCCAGGACCGCCTGCCCAAGACAGGCACTGCCCACAATAGGCTGCGATTCCCACATCAATTATTATTATTATTATTTGATATTTATTGAGCTCTACATTTTTCTCTGCTCCCCTCCCTGCCTCTTCCCTCCCCCTCCCATCCTCCCCCAAGGTCCCCATGCTCTCAATTTACTCAGGAGATCTTGTCTTTTTCTACTTCCCATGTAGATTATATCTATGGAAGTCTCTCTTAGTGTCTGCATTGTTGTCTAAGTTCTCTGGGACCCACATCAATTATTCATCAAAAAAATGGGGGTTATGGAGAGATGGACCCATGGCATTGGCTGCTCTTCCAGAGAACCTGGGTTCAGTTCCCAGCACCCACATGGCAGCGCACAGCTGTCTGCAACTCCAGTTCCAGAGGATCTAATGCCTTCTTCTGTTAGGCTTCTGGAAGTCCCAGACTTGCACGTGGTACACAGACACACATACAGGTAAAACAGCCATATGCATAAAGTAAAAATGAATGTAAAAAAGTTTTTATGTTAAAAAAAATTAGGCAGAGGCATGCTCACAAGCCAGTCTCGGTGGCAATTCCTCAGTGGAGGTTCCCTCTGGAGTGTGTGAGCTGACAAACACTAGAAACCGTCTCCACTCAACCATTTTTTTCTTTTTTCTTTTCCAGTGACTGACTCAGGAATGAACACATCATCCATTCTAGACAGAGAGATGTTAAAGGAATTCTTCTAGAAGCTTTTAGGTGATGTCACCTGAACCTTAAAACTACTCCTACCCTGGGAGCTGATGGAGACATTCTTCCTCCTGTAGACATTATGATAACTAAGTCATTATCGGTGACTTCGTTAGTCATTTGTGACAAGGGAGGCATCCCTGAGAGGAAGGCCACCCAGCAGAGAGGCTGGAAAGCCGTGTGAAGAACTACTTGGCTAACGCTAGAGAGGCGCCTCAGCATTAAGAGGATCCAGGCTCAACTCCCAGTACACATGTGGTAGCTCACCTCTGCCTGCAACTCCAGTACCAGGGGAACCACTTACCCTCTTCTACACACATGTAAATAAAAATTATTTATTTATCTTTTTTTTTCTTTCGAGACAGGTTTCTCTGTGAAATAGTCCTAACTGTCCTGGAACTCACTCTGCAGACTAGGCTGGCCTAGAACTCACAGAGGTCTGGCAGCCTCTCCCTCGCAAGCACTGGGATTAAAGGTGTGCACCACCACCGACCACCAGGCTCACAAGTGATTATATTTATCAGGAAAACCTGTTCTCACCTTGCCCCTAGGACCTGGGGAAACTCGGTCTGAGCCACTGGGCAAGGAAGCTGCCTCCCAGAGTGTAGTCATTCCTGAAAACACAACAGGTCTGGGAACGAGTGACTCATACCTCCTCCACTCCAGTCCAACGCTGGCCTCAGCGCCGGGACGGCACGCAGAAAGCCCTAGGGAGAAGAGCTGGGACAACACCTTGTGTGGCTGGGGCTGGGGCACTGGCATTCAGGGAGCATCGAGAGCTCTGAGTCACAAAGCAATGAAGGCAGGACTGCAGCTGCCTCTGTAATTAGAGTCGATCGCCACGGAGACAAAGGGACGGAGAGGGACATCACCTTTCAGGGGTGACCCTAATGACTGTACTCACCAATAAGTGCCTCTTGCCTCCATGACCTGGGCTCCCCTGCTGGAGACCCAGGGGGTACTGCCTCTAGAAAAAGATGGAGTAGTGTTTTCCCTGCTGGTCACTGTGAGTCTTCAATTCTTTATTAGATTTTTGTTTTGTTTTGTTCTTTTGGTTTTGGTTTTTCGAGACAGGATTTCTTTGTTTCTCTGTGTAGCTTTGTCTGTCCTGGAACTCGCTCTTTAGACCAGGCTGGCCTTGAACTCTCAGAGATCCACCTGCTTCTGCCTGCCTCCCAAGTGCTGGGATTAAAGATGCATGCCACCACCGCTTGGCTGTATTTTTATTTACGTGTGTATGTATGTAGGTATGTATATGTATGTATGTAGAACTCAGGACCTCTGGAGGAACAGCCATTTTTCCTAACTGCTGAGCCTTCTCTCCAGCCCTGATTTTGAGTCCATATCACATGAGAAGGGGGAGAAAAGAGGGTCCCAATGTTGATTAGGAAGATAGATACTAACTAATCTAATCGTGTCCATTAAGAAGAAAGAACGTACAAGCCGGGTGGTGATGGCGCACACCTTTAGTCCCAACACTCCCGAGGCTGAGGTGGGTGGAGTTTGAGGTCAGCCTGATCTACAAGAGCTACTTCCAGGACAGCTAGGACTGTAACAGAGAAATCCCGTCTCAAAAAAGAGGAGGAGGAGGAGGAGGAAGAAGGCTGCGGCTTCACAGTGAGTGTGGGGAGTTCAGATGAGGCGCTTGTTGCTCTGGGCTTACTCTGTAATGTCCAGTGGAGAAGCTAATGGAATGCCCCTATACCCTGCAGGAACAGATAGTCCAACCTAGACCATCTCACTAGAGGGTACTGTGATAACCCGGTCCTGTGGGGTCCTGTGTGAACTGACTGCTTGAGAGAAAGGGTGAGGAATAAGGGCCTGCACAAACTGGAGTCTGATCCTTACTCGGGTCACATTCCAGGTTAGAATTTGTTTTAGAAACTTGGTGTGGTAGCAAGCGCTTTATTCCCAGCGCTCAGGAGGGAGAGGCAGAGAAATCTCTGTGAGTTCAAGGTCAGCCTCATAAATTCTAGGTCGTGTTGGGGTGAATTCTCTTTCCATCCAGCCCTCCTGCTGACTGGAGGGCCTTCCCCTTTTACAGACCGGATGCTATACAGTTTGTGAATCAGAGCCAGTTAGACATCTGAAACTGTTCTCGGGTACCCACTTCTGTTCACTCACGCTGGTGGCATGCCCGGGACAGGCTCCCTCAGCTAGCTTTAGGATGCTGCTCAGATGTTCCTTCCCCAGAGCCTTACTCCCTATTTGAATGCACACCCTCTCTTGCCTCCAAAGCTGGCTAGCATCTCTTGTATTCTGAGGCATGTTCAAGTTACTAAAATATTTGCTACATCCAATCTCATGTGGTCTTGTCTTTTTTGAAAACTTTTTGTTTTGTTTTTGGAGACAGGGTTTCCCTGTGTAACTCTGGCTGTCCTGGAACTTTCTCTGTAGGCCAAGTTTGTCTCTGTCTCCCCAGTGCTGGGGTAAAGGTGTGCGCCATCACAGCCTGGACTGTTTTGACTTTTTTTTTCTTCTTCTCCGAGATAGGGTTTATGTTAGGAATATTTCCTAAGCGAGCTCTCTGACGATGCAAAAATTCCCAATCAAGCCAAATCAAAACAAACCAAATTAAGAAATATCCAGGTTTAATGGAAGATCTGTGCTCTCGGGTGGCCCCAAGGGGGAAACCGGGAAGCCACAAGAATACAACCCCCGGGAGGGAGAAAGGGGGACCACATGTTCTTCTTTTGAGGGATCACTTAAGTACCCTGGGGAGTGGTCCCGACCCCACCCCTAGGGAGGGGTGAGAACTGGCCTGCTGGGATTTGAAGTCCAGACCAGGCCTGGGGGCTGAGATAGATGCCAAGGACTGGGGCCTAGGCTCCCAGCCTAACAGTTTACTCTGTGTAATAGTCCTGGCTGTCCTGGAACTAACTCTTGTAGACCAGGCTGGCCTCAAACTCACAAAGATCCGCTAGTCTCTGCCTTCCCAGTGCTGGGATTCAAGGCATGTGTCACCACCACCACCTGGCCTGTTTTGACTCGTAAAAACAAATACTGGTGGCAGTAGGGTGGCTCAGTGGATAGAGGCACTTGCTACCAAGGCCTGAAGAGTTAGACCCTCTGAACTACACTGTAGGCGACAACAACCTCCTACAGGTTGCCCCCTGACCTCCACCCTAGGCAATGGGGTATGAGGGTGCTCAATAAATAACCACAATTACACAACAAATTAAAAAGATGAGGTCAAACTGTAGAAGAATGGAAGAACTTAGACTATAAATTAAGGGGGTTTAACGGTCTCAGAAAGGAGAAAAAAGAAAATTTGTTTACCCTACTATTCTGATCCTAGCCTTTAACAGCTATGTACATGTGGGTACAGGGTAACACGGAGAACGAGAGGCTAACCGTTAGGTGTGAGGCAGGGCTGACTGCAGACGAAGGACAGGAGTCATGAAGGCGGTGAACGGGTAACTGTCTCTCGTGGATCTTTCTCCTTTCTTGTGGGATAAATGCATTAAATATATATTTGATGGTGATAGTGTAAAATCCAATATTTTTCTCCAGCTTCAAAATGGTTATCATAGCTTTAAAAAAGTCTACTCTCTCAGTGACCTCTGGGTCTGGTTAATTTGGGGGGGGGGGGGGGAGATTACAAGTTCTTCACACTAAAGTGTTTTGCTTTGTTAGTTGAGACAAACTCTTCATGGGAAGCCCTGGGTGGTCTGGAACTCAGAGCTCTGCCTCCTGCGTGCTAGGATTAAAGCTGTGTGTGCAGGGCTCACATAGCTTTAGTAGAAAAGAAGAAAGATGAAAACAAACATTTAGACTGGAAGGCAGAGTCTTTGTTTTGTTGAACTTAATTGTAGCACTGTTTAATGGACAGGCCAGGGACTGATGAATTCAAATTCTTTAAAATAGCTAAAGATTAGAGGGAATTAAATGTAGTGCCTCTGGGATGTCTGATCTAAATTTGTTTTTAATGACATAATTGTTGCATGTTACATCTGAGATTATGTCCCAAAGAACTGGTTATGGGTGAGGTTAGTGCTACAGGAAGCCAATTTCCCACGTCAAGTCGGCAAATGAGGGTGGCTGTAATGCTAACTCTTTAAACGTGGGGGTGAGGGGAGAAGAAACGTGAGCCGGGAGAGGTCTTCAGAAAATGAACAAGGGAAGCGAGTGATTGCATGATTAAGCTGCCATGTGTTTTCAACAGCACTTAAATCACTGTAAGTGCAAACTGGGATATCGTCGCAAAGTATTTATTTGTTCATCTTAGTGGGAAACGATCACTCCCAATCATGCAAACGAGGTCATGCTACATAACTTCAAGAACACCGTTCCAGAGACGAGTGCCTGATGTACACAGGCATGAAACTGTCGAAGAATAAAAAATAAAAAGGAAATATGTCATATATAAATGTTTTGTTTCATAGTGCAAAAGAACAAGACATGAAATTCTGATCCCTGTTCAAGATTTTTTTTAACTCTAAAGTAATTGCAATATTCTCTTCCTCCAGGGCTTTCCTTCCACAATCAATCTTCCTCCCCCCCCCATGTTTATTCCCCCAAGCTTTAGAACACTTAACTAATTCACACAAAGCATTTCAGCTTCAAAGCTTTCAAAACATTGCCCTGCTCTTGCTCAGCTCCGCAAGACCCGCCCTTTTCTTCTTAAAAATTGGTTATTTTTGCAGTACGTTATTCCTATCTATTGAGAAAACACCCCTGTAACGAAAACTAATTTCCTTGCTTTACTGAACAGGTAAATTCTGAATTATTTACTTATGGCACCTATACTTCCATATTTGGGCCCTAAGAGTTTATTCTCTATCCTTCCAACGGTTGCACCCATGTGCTGGATATCAGAGCCAAGCAAGCAATTGTGAAAGTCTCATCAGCCGTGCGGGCAGAGGAAACGCTTTCAAAATATGCCATTCATCTTCATATTCGATGACAGCTTGTCCATATATCCTTTATAAGCATCATTAAGTATTGGTGCTTAAGACCCCAGTCATGAGAGGTAAGCTTTTAAATTTATAGGTACAAGGGGGTGGCAAAGGGGCCTTTCCTCTTATTTTACTTTTATTAAAACAAAAGCCAGCTTGAGTCCAACTCAACTCTGGAATGGCTGCTTGTCAGACAGGCTTCTTTTAGAAAGCCGCGTAGTGCATTAAGTTATCCGACTCCTGGACAAATCAGATTCATGGAGAAAAGTATTTCCCATGCCTAGAGTGACAAACGGAATTACGAGACACGCTTAAGCAGACTGTCAAACTTTTATGTTTACTTTAAAAAGAGAAAAACAAGAACCCAGAGATGGAAAAGTCAGGTCTGTTGCAGCCTTGTGTGGAACAAGAGGCTCACCTGTGCACACAACAGACGGGTCTTTCCCGGGCTGCCTTCCCTGGGGGAGGGGATGGGGTGGACATCGCTAGACCTTTGTCCTGGGGACCTGGGGAGGGACGACTTTCCGGGAGCCGCGCAGCCACCTGCGCCCGCCCGTGGACACCACACACCGTCGGGACCTCCACCCCGCCACCCGGGATGGGGGAAGGCCATGGCTCCCTGAATGCAGAGCGGGAACCCCGACTAGCTCAGCTCCGGGGCAGGCCCGTGAGGCCGAGCCGGGGACGGGTGGCCCGTGGCGGTGGCGCCGCCGCTCCGGCTCCCCGCCGCCGCCACCGGCGCCGCGCCGGGCTCGGGCGGGGGCATCCGCTCCGGTCTCCCCGCGCTTTCGCGCTCCCGCTTCGCGTGCGGCGGCTCGAGCCGGGGAGGGAGCGAGGGAAGGGGTGGAGGTGGCGGGGGGGAGGCCGAGGGGCGGATCCTGCCTGGGGGCTGATCCCTCCCTCCCCTCGGCCGGGCTCCGTGGCGGCAGCGGTGGCGGCGGCGACTGCTCCATTCCCCCTCCTCCTCCCCCGGGAGCGGCGGCCGGGCCGGGGGAGACGGAGCGGAGGGGCCGGCGCGGGGAGGAGGCCGCGCTGCCTCAGCCGGGCCGCGCTCGGACCTGCTCGGTAGCCCGGCCCGCCCGCACGCCCGCCCGCCCGCGCCCAGGGGGGCCCCCAGAAGCCCGGGGCCCGGCCGGCGGCTGAGGTAACGTGGGGGCGGCGGCGGCGGGGGCCGGAGCGAGCGGGGGCGGCGGGGGCCGACGGGGACCGAGCGCTGCGCACGGAGGGGGGGGCGGCCAGGGCGCACAGGGGCGTCCCGACGGGGCGCGGGGGCGACGCGCGAGCCCTGCCCTGCAGCGAGGGCGGCGGCGG